GCAGATGCATGCAAGTATTTGAATGTCTAGAAATAGCAGTTCAGAGTGAAATTGTTCTTTCTCAGCAAGCATGCAAAAAATGCATTCTTGTCTTCTACTCCCAAGTTTTCTCCTGGCTTGTAATGTTATTGTGTACACAGTGATGCTGTCATTTACCTGCATGCTGTTGTATTTTCTACTAGAGCTTGTGGGCTTCATCTATGCTATGGCTATGAGCTGTCTGAAAACTTAATTCTCCACTTGCTTCTGAAACCAACATGCTAAGGTGGTGTGAGAGGAAAAGATTCCGAATCTGAGTGCACTATAGCAAGAGCATAAAACATTTGGAAGGAGGAGACCCTAGAGAACGGGCCCAATTAAGAGAAGATACTGGTCACAAAATTAGAAGAGTTTCACAGAGAATAAGATGCAAACATTAACGGATGTCTGTGCATCTGCCTACAAGGCAACTTGAGCAGAGAATAATTTTTGGGAGATATTATACTTGGTTCCTATAACCGAGTGTTTCAGATATTCAAACATTCATATCAAACACAGTAATTACAGGTTTTCCAGACATTTGTAACTGCCACTTGCAAATTTTGTTTTCCCCATAGTTGAAATGGGTATATACCTACTTTTGCATTAGCTTTAAAATTTAACAGAGCAGCCACACAATCCTAAAGGATAGTGTAGTTCCATATAGAATCTGTAAACAGTGATTTGTGGTTTAAAAATGTAGAATATTGTGTCAGGCACCTCTAGGAACAGGCAGAACTTATGTGTTAATTTTAACTGTGCAAATGCATTCCTGGCCACAGCTACAACCTGGGCATCCAGCCTCAGGGATGAACCCAGGAGTACACTCAAGCTACAAACTTGTGTTTTCAGGAGGAGTGCAACTCCATCCAGGATAGGCTGAGTGAATATAGATGGAATAGAGAAATATATAGGATTGGGTTTTGCCTGCTCAGCATTTGGATAACTCCTACAGGAAAAAAATCTGTGTGTCCTTGTCTGAAGACAATGGTAGATGGTACCTTTATTTTGTTGTTATGTGCTGTCAAGTCAGAACCAACTTATAGTGATCCTAAGGGCATTCATGTTAAGTGAGATATTTAAAGAGGGATTTATCCAGTTCCATGTCCAAATGAGTTTCTGTGGCAAAGTGTGGGTTTGAACCCAGGCCTTCTGAATCCTAGACCACCACATTATCTACTACATCACACTGGGTATGATGATCACCAAGATCTCAGAAAAAAGAAGCAAGTTTTCAATTAAAAGGAGTCTTCATCAAGGTGAAAATTAAAGAGCTGACAGTGACGGAGAAGAAACAAAATTCCCAGCATCCATGGAATGATGTGTAAGTCAGGTTTTCTTATTTAAAGCAAGTTCCAAAATGGGGTCTGAAGAATCAACTTAAAGGTGGAAGGTTTCAGATCTCACCTCTGGCAATGTAGACTTTTACAAAGTTGAAAGCTATTCTCTTCATGACATTCTAGTGCTCTAATAAAAATACTCACTCTTATCTTCTGATTGGATAACTCCTGTACAGTGTAGAGTAAAATCCAGAGTGGCTTTATAGCACTCCTTGTCAAGGCTTGATACTTTTTTCTATTTAAGAGTGTCTGAAAAGTTATAAGGGTGCAGAAAATTGTCCTAAAATTACCCTGAAAGTGAAAATATTTTTAAACTTCTGGTAGGAAAAATGTTGCTTTCTACAAGTGTTTTAAAAACAATGAATCAGTCCAAGAGAGCAAATTCATTTAAAACTATCACGTTCCCAGGGGTATTAAAAGGCAGTCCAATGTCAGAAGTCCACTAGATGCAAAGCAAAATGCCAGAGCCAAAACACAAACCGTAGTCAGAAATCAGAGACCAAAGCTGAGGGTCCAGAAGACAAGGTCCAAGATGAGCAGCAGCGTGGATGCGAGCCAAAGGAATTGTCTTGTTGCTTCTGCGAGCTTCCAAGCCGGCTGGGAGCTGCTTATATAGTAAAACAGTCATTGAACTGCTGGAAGCCTTTTCATCCTGTCAAAACTCAGGACTAGCTGACCGGATGTTTCTGTAGGCAGCATTCAGGCGATTCTCTGACCTTTGCGTCATAAGTCTTTGCTGAAGCCTAGCCCTTACCCTGGCTACTGGGGGAGGAGAATCTGGTGGCGATTCAGTTGTCTCTGCTTCTAATCGCTAAGCATTCTCCTCAGCTACAGTTAACCCCTCAGGTTCCGGATCTTCGGCTGAACTCATGACAAAAACACAGCAGTTCTTTGGCAACATTTTGTTTTGTTTTGGTTTCTCATGCATACACAAGAGATAGGAAAACAGTAAACACTGACATCTAATGGATAATTGGTTTAAATACACATATTAGTATGCTTACAGAGGTGATGATATATGATTGTTTATTATTTTGCTAATAAGCAGGTACAAGTGCTATCAAGCTTATTAGGGGGTACAGCTGCTGCTTCATAGCAAGTTGGGGAAACAAAATTTAAAATATAAACACCCTCCTTTACTCACCCATCCATAAGCAAGGTGAGAAACAAGAGACATCTTATTCAAGTAAAAAGATAAAGAAGTGGCTTCAGGAATAAACAATGAATTTTGCATGGGTTTTTAACTGTAGCCTGGCTAAAATGAGTGAAAATATTATGTATTGATTTTATGTGTGCTTAGAGACTTAGAAATGCTATTTATATATCTTCTTTTTGAGAACTTTGATATTTCTTCATGATTTTTAAGAAAGCTTTTGAAGTTTATAATGTTTTATTTTTCAATGAGGTGTTATAGAGATGTATTCTCTGCCTTTACAGGCTATACATTCCCCCTGTATTTTTAAGAATAGGATTTAAAGCATTTCTGCTATTCGTTTTTATTTTGGTCCTACATTGTGAAGTGTTTGCTTACAATTCAAGTTTCAACACCTGCATCCTGCTACAATTTGCAAGGATAGATTTTGAGTATAAGTGCCTACAGTTTTTCCTCATAACTGTATGACGGTATTCAGTATATTTTAGACTTGCTGTTTTTGAAACATGGAACCTAGAAGTAATGTAGAAATAAAATCTAAAGAAAATTAACAAATGTTGAAGTTGCCTTGAATTATTGCAAAAAAAGAAGAATACTCAGATGACTTTTGAAATGCTTGCCAATGATTGTCTAAGTTTATTCTGGGGTTAACTCTTTACTGGGATAATGTCAGTTATGAGAAACCATGAGCTTCTGTTCTTTGTCTAGGACAGTGCTTTCCATCATGAGATACACGCACCTCAAGGGGTATGGACCAGAACATATAGGGGGAAAAATAAAAAGAAAAGAAAAGAAAAAGAAAAAAGAATAATGGCAGAAAAAGGAACATATGTCAAAAGAGTAAGATTCACTGTCAGAGTGCCAGTAGTGATTCTTCAAATCCCCTCAGTGAGCAATAAGCACCTCCAACCTTCAAGTCACTCACTGATTAAGGAGAATGAAGCATGGAACTCCACCCACTTCTTTGATTTCCCAGATGCAGCCATGGAAGGGAGGGCAGAAGAGAGGAAGGTAAGGCCTATGCAGTGCTGTTTGACTGGAGAGGTGGGAGAAAGTGTAGAGATATGAAAATATAGAGAAGCAAACCTATTAGCTGGAAATTTAACTTCCTGGTTTATTTTTCCACAGGAGCCCAACTTCTATAAAATCTACACTTCAAAAAGATGATATAGTTTATGTAAATAGGCTGCCAAGAGGTACACAGGTTTTATGGAAATAGGCTGCCAAGAGGTACACAGGTAAAAAAAAAAAAAGGTTGGGGACCACTGGCCTAGGAGGACTATAAATTTATATAGGACTGGGTAAGTCAAGTGTCCTCTAAGGGCGTGACACCCCCAAAATTGGAATCACTAAACATTTTCTATCTGTTCCATAAGTATTAAAGGACACAGAATTCCTTCCCAGACATATGGTAACTCCAGCAGAGAAACAAGCCAAACTTCAGCTGGTAACTCTTTTGGAATACAGAGGTTCATCTCTCACCCAACAGAAATAGAAAAAAAAATCTGCTGTTATCTCAGGATGCAGCTAAGTGAATGGTATGGGTTTTGAGTAGCATTTTTCTGAATACTGTGCTGGCAAAAATAGAAAAGAGGGGGGCAAAATTATTGTAATGATTGAAAGGTCAGCATATTTATTTCAGTGCAAGCTTTTCTAAATCAAAATGTGTTTCTTTAGACACAGCATCTGAAGAAAAAGTTTTTGATCTAGGATGAATGCGTACACTGAAGTAACTCAGTTAGTCCTTCAAGTCTTACAATATTTTGCCTTTTTTAAAACTTGTTTTTCTTCTTTATTTGTACCAACATGCTGAGACAGACTAACACAGGCTCCTTCTTTAAGAAATTCATCTGGTCGACAAAAAGACTCGTTCTGAGGTACGGTTCCATGGTGTATATTTATGCCTGTAGGCACTTTAACAGAAAAATTATATTACATCAATGGTGTTCGTCTTGAAGGAATAAAAGATGTTTTGTTGCGTTGATTAACAAGGCGGCATCAAGGGCAAAAATCCCATTGACGGATTTCACTTGGAAGGACTTGACCGCCTGAGCTCGAAACTTCAGATTCGCGTTTCGATGCTCGTGACCCTCCACGCGAACTTCAGGTTTCCCCCAAGAGAGGCGAGAGTGGGCTTGACTTCCCGTGAGGGTGGAGAAGCGATAATACATCACGAGCGAACTCCTCCCACAATCGCCCTCTCCTCTCCAGCAATAACAGTACTTGTCGCTCTTGGAACTCGAAGGAGGTCGGGTAGGAACGTACCACTACAGTGGAAAGGGGAGCCCAGGAGTTTTTAACTTTCCCAAGGGGACAATAAAGTCTCCGAAGGCGACAGTTCATTTCCTTAAAAGTCCCCCAAGACCATCGGAGGGGTGGGAGAAGTTACTCTTTGTGGGCTTGCCGACACCCCGTTGCGCTTGGTGAAGCGGCCGGTAGGCTTCCCTCCCTCCCTCTTTGTAGGAAGAGAATGGCTCAGTCCAACGGGCAACCGCTTCCTCCTCCTCCTCCTCCGACGCGCTCTTCTTCCCAGAGATTTGTCGCCGCCGCCGCCGCCTCGGAGGCGCGCGAGGGAGTGAGGAGGGGGCGCCTCGGCAGGAGACGTGCCGCGCTGCGAGTCTTTCCGGATTCCCCAAGATGTCGGTGGCGTTCGCGGCCCCTCGGCAGAGGGGGAAGGGCGAGATAACGCCGGCTGCCATCCAGAAGGTGCGCTGAGGGGCCTAGTGTGGGGAGGCGGACAAGCCCGGAAACGGGGCGGGTTAGGCTGGGCTGCGTGCCTTCTCTCCCTCGCCCGCCGGGCATAGAGGGTCCCGTAGAAGAGGATTCTCTGGATTGGGGTGAATGCCGTAGTTTGCTGTTGTTTTCCCCCCCTCGCGAACCACTTAAATACTGCGCGTCTCGACGTACTTTCCCTGGAGAACCGTTTCCATTAGGAAGAATGAGGCTCACCGTCGGGTGATCCGTGTTATGATGGAGGTGTACGTTCAGACGTGTTGGTCTTACAGCAGCCCTGTAAGGTTGCTCTGTGATTGCAACTCTTCGTATGAAGGGACTGCGGGCAGTAGTGAGATGGCACAAAAAAAATCCATTCGGTTGATGGCTTGTTGAGATGTATCAACTTACCACTTCGTTGTTGGAATCACAGCCATATAGTTTTCATTACTTATTAGTGTGGTTTGTACTTTATTAATGCATCAAACAAGTCAGACAACCTCAAGAGCCGGGATGGGCGACAGGTGGTGCTTCAAATGTTGCTGAGTTGGCACTCCTGGCATCTCACCGTAGAGAGTCGGGAGGCCAGAGGTTCCTACTCCTGCTGTAGTGTGATAAGAAAAGAAATAAAATAGAAGGCTGATAGAACAAGCAGGTGAGTATAATGAAGTGCTGGGAAGAAGAAAAACTGTCGGTACTGTATAGATAGTACTGTACTGGTACTGTATAGATTGGGTAACCCAGGTATTCTTGGATTGTAATTTCCAGAAGTTGTGCAGGCTGGGATTTGTGGGAGCTACAGTCCAAGAACATCTGAGTTGCCCAAGGTAGGGAACCACTGGTATAGAGTGAAAAGGACAGTAGTTTTTCTAAGAAACATTGCAGCAGAAATAGGTTGAAAAGAGTGTGAGAGATTTTGCTAAATCCATGTGAAAGTAGGAAAAATGTTCTGAGAATTATCTGCTTTCACGTCCCTTAGTACAAAGCGGTGTGGCAGTGGACTGATAGGGGGAACATCTTTTCCAAAATTGGAGCTCCTGGAAAGTAGGAAAAATGTTCTGAGAATTATCCGCTTTCCCGTCCCTTAGTACAAAGCGGGGTGGAGTGGACTGATAGGGGGAACATCTTTCCCAAAATTGGAGCTCCTTCTGTTCCAGTCATATGTTGCATGTAGTAGGGATCTGGTAAGGATGAGTATGGAGAACCTGGAACTTCCAGTAATACATAGCGGTTCTCTTGGCCTTCAACAGACTAAGCAATTGTGGAGTAAGCAGGGTAAGAGCAAATACTGTATGTATCTTCGGATTAAACTATTGAAAGTAAAGTACAGTTGAGATGTCACTCTTTGCCCTTCCCCTTATCCTGGTTCCAAATGGGTGCTTCATTCTTTGAGGTTGGAAAAAATGTTTGGATTCAAAGAGAGTAGGAGGAAACTGCGCTAAAGATGTGTCTCAATTCAAGTACCACACTGTGAATAGTATGTGAGAATACTGTTTTATGTTCATTAGGTTAGAAAATTAAAGATTCTAGCTTTAAATGATTGCTTATGGTTAGAACTGTCATTCTTCATATGAAAGGATGAAGAAAGAGATAGCAGTGGCTGTTGTTATTTAAAATGCTACAGAGATTGCAGTAACTACTATTAGGATTTGTGGGATCAAGAAGTCTTAAATATGAGACATAAAATTGTGTTGCCTGGTTTGGGTAGGAGACTGGGTTTGTAATATTGCACTTGCAAAGCTTGTAGGACTGGAAAGACCATTGTTGAAAATGTGTAGGCTGGTAGTGTTTTGTTTGTGACAGTGATAGTTGGCTAAGAACATATGGATCGTGTTGGTACATGTTGCAGACAACCAGACTGCAGTTTTTCAAGGTTAGTTGGAGTCAGTGGTATAATTTTAGGGCTGCTTCCAAATCTAGAAGCTGGATTTCTTTCTGCCTTAGTAAAGTCTTTAGAAAACTGAACTAGGAATAAGGAAATCTTGGGGAAGCCATGGTTTTAGTACATAAGGTCATAACTTAATCCATCCTCTTCCTTGTTACGTGAGTATAATAGTAATATTCCATTTACAAGGTTGTGGAGTGGTTTATGATGTGTTCAAAGGAATATATGAATAATAAGCACTGTAAAATGCAGAGAATTTGATACCATGTACAATTTTGTTTTGTAGTTAGCTTTGTAGAGGAGTAACTTTTGAAATTTAGGGGAAATTGTTAGAAAAAGAAATCAAGCACTTGATAGTTCAGGTTTTTTTAAATGCCCTCATTTTCATTGGGAATACAAGCGCTTGAGGGATTTTCAGAGTTGGCTCTAAGATAAATATGTAATGCCCTGCGTGAAGAGCCCAGTGGTTGGTGTAGTAAGTAGTATTGCCAATTTGTTTCTTGTGTGGGATTGCAAAATCTAGCAAAGGAAAACTATTCTGATTTTTTAAAATCCCAAACAAATGTTATTATATGTGTTCGCGAAGGCTTTCGCAGCCAGGATCTAATGTTGTTGTGGGTTTTTCGGGCTCTTTGGCCATGTTCTGAAGGTTTTTCTTCCTAACGTTTCCCCAGTCTCTGTAGCCAGCATCTTCAGAGGACAGCATTCTGTGCTCTGGTGTAGTTTGCTTGGGAGCGGAGTGTTTATGGCTGTGAGATAGACTTTTGTCCTGTTCAGGGCATGGGTGATTACTGTGTCTTGTTGTGGATGTATTGTTGTGATAAGGAGGAGAGATTATCTGTCACTTCCTGCCCTAAAACAAGCTGGACATGAAATTCTATTTCAAAATACTGAAATACTGGACAACACCAGCAATCATTACATCAAACTGCACAGGGAAGCCATTGAAATCCACAAGCACCAACAGAACTTCAACAGAAAAGAGGAAAGTTTAAAACTCAACAAAACTTGGCTTCCAGCTCTGAAAAATACAGTGTGCAAAAGGTCAATGACTTCTACCCAGCCACAAGGACTGGGGATCACTACACACAAAAGACCAGCTAATGACACCCATCAATCACAGTGACAGTTAATCTCTCCTCCTGGTGAAACGTTAGGAAGAACAGCCTTCAGAACATGGCCAAAGAGCCCGAAAAACCCACAACAACCAAATGTTGTTATACTTGAAATTAGAAAAGAACTGATTTTAAGGCTAATAGATAGCAGTTCATTTTTCTCATCGGTACCCAACCAAAGAGTAAATGTTAGGGGAAACAATTAGAAGCAATTACTGCTATAGTAAACTCAACAAACCATACCAATGATCCCTTCTAGGCCTGTATGAGTACTTAGCTTATCCATATCCAAGACTGGCTCTTGGCATTATGAGAGATTTACTTCAGTCAAGTAATAAACAATTTTGGTAGGGATTTCAGTTTGTGATCTTTAGTCTTTGCTTTAACAGGCATCAGTTGCTGGTTTTTAGTTCTAAAAGTGATCCTTGTTGTAATAAAGTACACTGCCTAGTGGGTATCTATTCTCTACAGGATGGTTTAAAAATATAATAAATAAATTTGATGGTGTGCTTAAGATTTTAGTATAAAGGTTAAAATGAAACAGAATGTTGTTGCAATTTTTTTCTACCCTCCCACTCTATTTTGTAGAAAAACTATGTGAAACTTTAGCTGCAGTCAGAAATAATCTCCCCATCCCTGCTGTTAGTCTCATAATGGGCAGAGCAGGGATTTGCCTGTTGCCCTGTCCCCTCTTTCTTAAACCCAAGAGCCCTCCACATAGTGGACAAGTAACTTTTGCAACAGGGAATCATCTCATGTCATTAATAATAAAGAAGGTGAATGTCTGAATAGGGTTTGTATAACAGGAATGGAAATTAAGTCAAACCCAATGTTCCCCAAGAGAGACTGGCAAAGTTTGTGTTCAGGACTGAAAAGAAAAATTGTGTCATAAGTCCAGTAAGGATGAGTTGTCTGCTAAAAGGATGAGATGCTTTTGCTATGTTTTCAAAAACAGTTGAAATGTAAAATACATAAAAGTGAATTTTTGAAAACAAAGAGAAGGAAACATTGGAAATGAGTTTCCAACTTGATCCTGAACATATGGTTGCTCAAAATTTGAGGTAGAACAGCCAGTTGGGCAAAGTAAAGTTTAATCTATATTAGAACAGATTCATCTTATTATGAGAGTCTATTCTTTTTCAGATGTTGGATGAAAACAATCACCTTATTCAATGTATAATGGACTACCAGAACAAAGGCAAGACTACAGAATGCTCCCAGTAAGTTCTTTATCTGAATATAGTTCATTTTAACTTGAATTATGGCCTAAGAATGTGATATGTATTTGGAGGAGGTATTTGAGGTACACAAAGTAGATTGTGTATTCTCGTACTGTACATATGTCTGGTTGCATAGTGTTATTGTCAATTACTCAGTTTGTACAAGTGAGATTTCCTTCTGGGGCTTGTCAGCGTACTTGTTCTCTAACATGCAGGTGAATATATGCCACCATACTGGTGAAGCACTAAGTAGGCAAGTTAAAACAACATCAAGAACCTTCCAGCATCTTTATCACAGCTCTGCAAATTACAAAGAAAATAGTACCATTTTAGATAGTTAGTTAGATATGGAGGGGACTAGACAGTTCCCTTTTAAGGAAATTCTAATAAATGAATGTGAAATGAAAAAGTCTTTCATAATGTATCTTTGGCACACAGGATGTGTAAAGGAGTGAACAACTAACAGGGCTTCACTCTTGTCAGACTCCTGAACAGAGAAAAACCCGTGAGTGAAAGGTTTCCATCTAGACTCAGAAGCTTTACATATCAGTCTCTAAAATTAATTGATAGGCACTATGTACAGGCCAACATTGTAATATGCTGCTATGTTATATATCAGGAGTATGCTATTACATTCTGCATGAACTGCCTTTTATAGGCTGTTTTCAAGGGCACGATTTACATGATATGCCATCATTTTAATAACTATGCTGCATTTGATGGGGTACGGGGGACTTCTAAATGTTTTCCTTGATTTTTAAATGTACTTTTTTCCTTTCTTTAAAAAAATAGGTATCAACAGTTGTTGCATACAAACTTGGTCTACCTAGCTACGATAGCAGACTCCAATCAAAATATGCAATCTATACTGCCACCGGTAAGTATTCCTTGAAAACAATTATGCATATTCTCCCTGCATTAAAACAAAAGTTGACACAGCATTTGTAGAAAACATATATAACTTATTTTTAGTGCTTCTTGTGTCTTGCATAACACATCTGTATGCCTTTGCTAGTATATTTCCTAATATAAGAAAACAGCATAAAAATAAAATTTCATGTTTGCCACTTGCTTAATTTCAGTAGAAGCACCGGTATAATTTGTATGTGGAGTTTGCTCAAGTTTCATTGTCTATGTCTATTGTAACTGTTTTCACATTATTTGTGTACGTCACTTCTTAGTAATAGTTAGATGTGTGCCATCAACCTGGAACCAACTTTTAGCGATTCTAACAGAGTTTTCAAGATCAGTGAGATATTTAAGTAGTGGTTTTACCAGTAGGTTTACATGGCTATGTGGGGATTCGAATCCTGGCTTTCAGAGTCCTAGTCTGCCACTCTGGCCATTGGTTCTTATTAAATGTATTACTCTGTCTGTTTTGAACTACTGTGCAAATCTTCTGCTTTTCCTGGAATGGTTTAATAGAAGCCTTCCATAGCACAGTTCTTGTCAAGCATTGTGAAACCTGTTGAGTTGTATTCAGAGGCACCATTGTGCACACAGAAACTGTCTTCTGCTGCCTGAATGATTGCGTAGCATATCCTACTAGAGCGTTTCAGGGGAAAAATACATTCAAAGTTATCATTTCCTGTGACAATGAGAGAGGTCCAGGAGGAAAAGGCAAGAAAAGAGAGGAAGAAGAGTGTGGAGTTTGAGGCAGGAACAGGAGAGGTAAAAAGGAAGGAGAGTCAGTTGCCGCCAGGCTGGGAATGGGGGTGGATAGAGGATCCCTGGATAGGATTATGGGAGAGGCTGAGAGTGCCTAAAAAGGAGGTAGATTACAGAAGGGAGATTCTCCCCAGACCCTCTTATTGGGGAGAAGCCGAGGCGAGAGAGTGGAGGAGGAGGTTGAGAGAAGAGAAGGAAAGAGTAGAGAAAGAATGGAGAATACGAGAGATGAGGAAGAAGAACTACAGGGAGGACCCTGGAAGGATCGAGACCCCGAGGGATGAACCCTGTGGAATGGTGATCTGGATGACGAGATCATGCCCTTGCTGGAAGGTTCGACAGAACAGACCATGAAAGACTGGGTCCCTGCAGATTTACTGGGACCATGGAACAATAGTTACGGCAACCCGTTCCTCTTAGAAGATTGGAGACCCTTTCCGGACCCGTTGGTAGAAGGAGAAAAGACTCATAATCATGTAACAGACACTTGTTCATTGTTAAATGCACCAATAAATCTTTTGCCTGTTTTGAAGCAACGAAAATCTACGGATTGGTTTGAACCGAAAGAGGAGCCTAAAGCTGAACCCTCACACCAAGTTTGATTTTTCCATCACACCCAAATAATCTGAGGCTGCAAAACAATCCAGCTTTGCCTGCCACTGCTTGCAACTTGTTGAAATGTTTAGTACCCCTACATTATTCCTCCACCCCCAACTGGCCATGCTCGCTGGCACTAATAGGAGTTGTATCACATGCATCTGGAGGTCACTGGGTCTGATGGTAATCTGTTCTGGAATGCTCAGTGTATGTGTGATAAGACAATCCAAAGGAAAGGAAGAAATAATGCTGGAGGACTTCCATATTGGAAAGCACTCAGTGTGCTACAAAAAACAAAAGACATGTATTAATAGTTCAGTTATTAATGAAACAACTGGATTAAAATTGCACAGATGTAAAAGCCACATTGGATCACTGAATACAAGAAGTATAGGCAAGCTAGAAATTGTAAAACAAGAGAATATGTTAACTAATGTTTGAAAATGCCCAAATATTACAGTTCGGTCACATCAAATACTAAAATATTTGAATGTGAGTGAACTAAAGTATCTGGGCATTTAGAGTCAGATAATCACAGTGCTCCCATTTAGAAATGACAAATCCTGAAGAAATGGGGGTAGCTGTAATAGTGCAGTGAGTTGTAGAGGCAGGCAGGATTATACTGTGGGGTCTGAATAAATAATATCAATACCTCTTCACAAAAAATCAACATAATCCTAATTCAGGTTTATGCTCCAGCTGCAGATGGTGAAGAAATTGAATGTTTATAGGCAATTGACCAGGAAGAAATTGATCACACACCAAAAGAAGATATGTTAATGATAATAGTTGAACGCAAAAGCAGGAAATAAAGGGAAACTAAACAGGGCGAAAGCATTTTACTGTGGAGTCAGAAATGAAGCAGGAGAGCAATACATTGAACTTTGTGAAGCCAACAAGTTCATTGCACATTCTTGTTTTAGGCAACCGAACAGATGGTTGTACATTTGGATATCAGCAGATGGCCAATATGGAAATCGAATCAGCTATGTGATTGAAAGCACAAGATGGTGGCATTTCTCTCCTTGTAAATTTGCGACTACGAATGGATTATGACGTAGAGCATGAACTATTGGTACTAAAAAACAAAACAAAACCAACGTAAGGCTGAAGAACACCACAAAATCAATCATAGTACTCAGATATGATGTAATATTCCTAAAGAATTTAAAGGCCAAAAAATGGACTTGCGTTACTAAACTTGACCAAATAAATATGGCAAGGAAATTAGTCAAAAAAAGAATTGAGGATATTGAATACCAAGCTGACTTTACTAGTGTACAGAATCTGCTGTTAAGGGCCTACATTAAGAACTCCATGGAACCGGCAGGAATTCTTAGAAGTGAGAAGATTTAGAAGAGTTTTCACGCTAGCAAGATGTGCTGCCCTTCCGTCTGCCGTCCTCGAAGGGAAATATAGGAATGTGCCTTATGAAGAAAGGCTTTGCTCCTGTTCGCCAGGGGTGGTAGAAACTGTGCAACACATTTTTTTTTACCTATCCCCACTATGGGGTTCCACGTAATCAGATTATTTCTCCACTGAATAAAAAAAAGTCCCAAGCCATACAGAAGAAAGTAGACTCCAGTTTCTTCTCTCAGATAAAGACCCTAAGATCACCTATCACGCTACAAATTTCTGCATGGTGATACATAGATTCCAGAAATCAAAGGGTAGATAAATTTTAGATGTGTAGATTTTAAATGGTTTTAAAGTGTGGATTTTAAATGGATTTAAACTGTAAGTGTTTTAATGCATTTTATACTAGTGTAAGTGGTAGTTTTGCTATGCTTTATGCTGAAAAGGTTGAAATTGTAATTGTTTTTGTTTAATTGGTCTAAGGACTGTAATAAAAATATGTATGTAACTTGACCAGCCAGAAATCACAAAAGAACTAGTGACTAAAATAAACTACTGTTACTGAAAAATGATGATACCCAGTGTTGGTATAATACACAGAGTTCCAGAGTAGGACTCAGGAGGCCTGCATTCAAATCTTCCCTCAGTAATAGAAACTCACTGGGGGTGTAGAATTGGTAATATATTACTTACCTCGAAAGCCCTATCAGGATTGAAATACTGTATGTTGGTTCTGACTTGATGGCACAAAACAATAGAAGAATACAAAAAGACTGTTCTTGTAGTTAAAGGTAAGGAAAAGCCTCAGTGGATGAGTGATGGAACTTAAAAGATAAATGAGGAGGAAAAGTAAAATGTGGTAGAGGAACAGAATATAGGTTTTCAGCAACTGGTAAATTGTAACAAAGGAAACTATTATAGTTATTATTGCACAGATATAGAGAAACAAAAGAGCCGGAAATCTCCTTTTCATAAGATCAAAGAACTTAGAGGTAAATTTAAATTAATGTTGAAAGGTCAGCATGGGAATATTTTATGTTGGAATAATAAAATAAAGAAGCCAGAAACAGCATGCTAACAAATTGAGCATGAAAGATGCCTTCATAGAAGAATAATTTAAATAAGAATTTGAAATTTTAGAATTTGAAATAGAAGCAGCATTCAAAGCAGTTGAATGAAGTAAAACATCAGAAGTAGATGTTAATGTTGCTGTTTCAAGCTATAGAGCAGTGGTTGGGGAATGGGTAATTCGGGTCTAAGCTAGATGGGTGCTAGCAAGAATTACAACTGGTTTTGTAATTGTTACCAGATAAGTGGTCAGTTTCATGCTGCTTTTTTTTTAAAAAGTCACACAAGTGTACTCATGTTTTCTACACTTCCTGACAATTTGAAAATTTATCCCAATTTTACAGAAGTTCAGATAAACAACAGACAGAATTTTGATTAGCTCTTCAGGTGCTGTTATGTTGAAGAGTTTGTTAGTGCACAAACTGGATAAACATGAACCAATTATGTTTAATTTCCTCAATAAATAAAGAAAAAATGGAAATCGAAGCATAAATGTAGGCAGACCCAGGAGCCTCTACCTCCTTGCATAAAACTTCCCTAACAAATAAGTCTTCCATATAAGACCATTTTGAGAGAGAGAGAGAGAGAGAGAGACTGACTCTATGAAAAAAGGAACAGGCAAGCAAAACAGAAGGCTTGAATTAAGGTGGGGGAAAAGGGTGGCTTTTTAAGATGCTGTCTAGGTTTGTCATCGCTTTCCTCCCAAGAAGCAGGCGTCTTTGAATTTCGTTGCTGCTATCACCCTCTGCAGTGATGATGGGGCCCAAGAATCTGCTCATTTCCTACATACCTAAGTCTTTTGGTACATCTTACACAGTCATGGCCAAAAATATTGGCACCCTTGCAAATGTTTTGGTACTCACATGTTCATTTCTTTGCTTTGCATTGGAACAACACAAATGTTTTTTCACAAAACATCAACAATTTCAAGACCATGAGTCCATCTCCAGAGATCTTAATGTTCCTGTGTCCACTGTGTGCAATATCATCAAGAGGTTTACAGCCCATGGCACTGTAGCTAACCTCCCTGGACGTGGACGGAAGAGCAAAATTACTGACAAATTACAACGAAGGGTTGTTTGAATGGTGGATTAAAAAATTCAGGTTAACTTCTCAACAAATTCAAGTTGATCTGCAGACACAGGGTACAGCAGTGTCAGCTCGCACTATCCATCGCCATGTGAATGAAAAAGGACACTATGGTAGGAGACCCAGGAGGACATCACTGTTGACACAAAGGCATAAAAAAGCAAGACTGGAGTATGCGAAAACTTATGTGACAAAACCACAATCCTTCTGGGAGAACGTACTGCAGACAGATTAGACAAAAGTCGTGCTTTTTGGTCAAGGACATCATGGTACTTCTTACAGAAAAAGAAATGAGGCATTCAAAGAGAAGAACACAGCCCCTACAGTCAAACATGGCAGAGGTTCAAAGATGTTTTGGGGTTGTTTTGGATGCCACTGGATGCCATGACTGTGTGAATGGTATCATGAAATCTGATGATTACCAAAGAAGTTTGGGGCACAACATAGTGGCCAGTGTCGGAAAGCTGCATCTGCACCAGAGGTCATGGATCTTCCAGCAGGACAATGACCCAAAGCACACTTCAAAAAGTGCTCAGAAATGGTTACAAACAAAGCACTGGAGAGTTCTGAAATGGCCAGCAATGAGTCCAGATCTGAATCCCATAGAACACCTGTGGAGAGATCTCAAAACAGCAGTCGGGAGACGGCATCCTTCAAATCTGAAGGCCCTGGAGCAGTTTGCCAAAGAAAAGTGATCCAAAATTCCAGTGTAAGAGGTGTAAGAAGCTCATTCATGGTTACAGGAAGTGATTGATTTCAGTTATTTTTTTTTTCCAAAGGCGGTGCTACCAAATATTAAGTTAAAGGTGCCAATTTTGGCCAGTGCATTTTTGGATTTCTGTGTGGGCTTGTATCAGATTTGACTTTTCCTCTTGGTTTTTTGTTGTGTTCCAACACAAACCAATGAAATGAGCATGCGAGTACCAAAACATTTGCAACTGCAACAATTTTCTGAGAGAAGGGTTGCATTTTCTGACAGAATTGGAAAGGTGCCAATATCTTTGGCCATGACTGTAGGTCTCTTCATGTTCTTTTCCTTCATTGAATTCCAGTGTCGCTCGATTTTTCATTGGCATAACTTCTTTGATAAATGTACCAAAAATCTTTAAGAGATGAGCAACTGTGAAAGTTAAGTTGAAATATCATACTAGGTGGCCAGTTCCAAAATTGGAAACCTGAAATTCTTTGCAGTGCAGAATCCTTTGTAAA